TTTTATAAATTTTAAAATAAAATTATATAATAAAATTAATCTGTATAAAATTACCAGCCATTCAGGGTAATAAAAAAGAAAGAGAAATGATGGAAGAGAAAACAACTAAACAAGACAAGGACACCTCCCCCACTTCAACAAGAGGCAGCAGGAACGTTTACATTGCATTTCATTCAAGCCTAAGCAACCCTGCACCTAACCCCCTCCTTGTCGGCAGCAACCTACTTCTTCCTTTCTTTCTTTTTAGCAGCTAACAAGTGGACTCCTCCCTCCTGTTTCATTTCTAGAGAGAGAGAACGATCGGAGACATTATTGTAACTTACTTTTAGAGAGATAGACTGAAAAAAAAGGACGAGAGAGAGACACGGAAATCGAGAAGATGTTTTGACAGTGAGAGTCAATGTTAGAGTGAATAAGAAACTCTCAAAAAGATTGAAGCTTTCAAGTTCAATTAAGAACTCAAAATAACACAAAAGATTGGATTTGGGCTTCAATCTCTTCAGTTTTTCACAAAATCACTACAAAGATCGAAGCTTTGAAGTTCAATCTCTTCCAAAAAAACAAAATCAAGAAGAACCCTTGTTTTCTTTCTCCAATGTTAGTCCAAGATCGTGGAACCACTAACCCAAATCCAAAATCTCCCAAATCACAAATCAGAGCCGCCATCAACAACCACCATCACGACCTCAACCACCGCTTCTCAGAGTCAAAATCTTTAGATTTCTCGACATGGGTATCTGAGAATTTCTGCAAAATCGTCACAATCACGGTGCTAGTTGCCACTGTCGCCGCCATCCTCTTCCTCTTGAGCACTGGTGACACTGCTGCACTTAGCTACATTCAATCAAAAGCCCAACCTCTAGAAAAAACCCATCATCCTCCTCGTATAAATTGGAACAATATCCCATCAATCGCTGACAAATCTTCGCCTTATACGAATTTCCGGTCAGAGAAATGGATTGTTGTTAGTGTCTCTCATTATCCTTCTGATTCGCTTAAAAAGCTTGTTAGGATTAAAGGTTGGCAATTGCTAGCAATTGGGAATTCAAGGACACCAAATGATTGGTCCTTGAAGGGTGCAATTTACTTGTCTTTAGAACAACAAGCGACTTTAGGGTTTCGGGTTTCAGGTTATCTACCTTTTGATTCTTATTTAAGGAAGAGTGTAGGGTATTTGTTTGCGATCCAACATGGGGCGAAGAAAATTTTTGATGCTGATGATCGCGGAGAGGTTATTGATGGTGATTTAGGGAAGCATTTTGATGTGGAGTTAATAGGGGAGGGGGCGAGGCAAGAGACTGTATTGCAATATAGCCATGAGAATGAGAATAGGAGTGTAGTGAATCCTTATGTTCATTTTGGTCAAAGGACAGTTTGGCCGAGAGGGTTACCATTAGAGAATGTGGGTGAAATTGGTCATGAAGAGTTTTACACTGAGGTTTTTGGTGGGAAACAGTTTATACAACAAGGGATATCGAATGGATTGCCCGATGTTGATTCTGTGTTTTATCATACCAGGAAAACTGGTTTGGAAGCCTTCGATATTAGGTTTGATGAGCGTGCCCCGAAAGTGGCATTGCCTCAAGGGGTAATGATGCCGGTCAATTCATTTAATACGATTTACCATTCGTCAGCTTTTTGGGGTTTGATGCTTCCAGTTTCAGTTAGTACTATGGCTTCTGATGTCTTGAGAGGCTATTGGGGGCAAAGGCTTTTGTGGGAGATTGGTGGGTATGTTGTGGTTTATCCACCGACTGTGCATAGATATGACACAGTTGGAGGGTACCCTTTTTCTGAAGAGAAGGATCTTCATGTTAATGTTGGGAGACTTATTAAGTTCTTGGTTGCATGGAGGTCGAGTAAGCATGAGTTGTTTGAGAAGATTTTAGAGTTGAGTTTTGCTATGGCAGAGGAGGGGTTTTGGAGTGAGCAGGATGTGAAGTTTACTGCTGCTTGGCTTCAGGACTTGCTTGCTGTAGGGTATCAGCAACCTAGGTTAATGTCATTCGAATTGGACCGGCCTCGTCCTAATGTAGGTCATGGGGATCGAAAGGAGTTTGTTCCTCGGAAGTTACCATCTGTGCATCTTGGAGTGGAGGAAACGGGGACAGTGAATTATGAGATTGGCAATTTGATTCGTTGGAGAAATAATTTTGGGAATGTTGTGCTTATTATGTTTTGCAATGGGCCTGTTGAACGTACTGCCTTGGAATGGAGATTACTTTATGGGAGGATATTCAAAACTGTAATTATCTTATCATCGCAGAAGGATGAAGATCTTGCTGTTGAAGCAGGGCATTTGGATCGTATGTACAAGTAAGTTGTCTATATTTATATATTTTACTTGTTTTGGTATTGTGATTTGAATCTAGATTCTTATGCAAACCAGAATCTCGGATATCTGTGATGGATTCATATATTATTAAGATAGCAAATTTTATACAACTATGACAAAAACTTTGTCTCTCAGAGAGACTGGGGAGTTGGAGTGTTGGGAAGCTTTGACACTCTTGTAAAATGAAAGAGATTTGTTATGATTAAGAAAGTATGAGGTTAAATTTATGGGTAGCAAGAGAGTATGGAGAGAGCTTTCATGGAATTGGCTTTTCTTAGTTAATTTAATTCCATGTCTGTTTATACGGGAATAATCACTCTTAGATTGTGTAGATTTTTGCCCATGCCATATAGTTACGATACTGAACTCTTGTGCATTTGGACATTAAAGTTGGATTTTGGATGGGTGTTGGAGTTGCATAAAATACGACAATCAAAGTAAATAAATGGTGGCTATGTTTCTTGTCATGTTTCTAATTCCTACTCACCATTTTAGCATGTCTAGGGTAATGTTGATATCCTGGAGAACATTTGTGATCCTGGTATTCAGATTCTTTTACTAGGAAATTATGGCTTGGGAATCATCGTATCCACCAACTTACCTTGTTGTTAATGAGTTTAATCACCAGGTTCAACATGATACATAAGCTCTGATCTTCAAGTCAGGACAGAGTACTGCACAAAAGATTAATCCAGATTGTTTTTAGTGATTTTCATTTGAGATGTTTTGAAATATATGCATTCTGTTGAAGGTTAGGGTATGGTATGTGCATAATACAATAGTTTAAGCTTTGTCTATTTTCAAATTCTTTCGGGCATCAGGCACTGGTGCTTGTGGATAAACTATTCTAGTATAAGCATGATCAGAGCGTGAGTTTTCTTGGAGTCTCAAACATCCCTCTATAATTGTTATTTTCTCAAGGAGGTATTTGCTTCCTTTTCTTCCCTCAAATTTGTTTTGGAGTTATGCCAGTTTGAGTTCGTTACGGTGTCTTTTATTGTAGTTTTCTTAAAAGCACCTCTGGTTGTTATCCTGTCAATATCTTGGTTTCCTTGGCATGCATTTGTTATTGATAACCATGGAATTGGTGTAAAGTCAAATTTTAACTGTTTTGCACTGTCAAGGGGATGTCCCCTATCTTTCATCTTAAACTGGTGTTGCTCTGTGTACTAATTATCCTATCTAATGTTGGTTATAGACATCTGCCCAAGATATTTGATCGATATAGCAGTGCCGAAGGCTTTTTATTCCTTCAGGATGATACTATCCTCAATTACTGGAATCTGCTTCATGCAGACAAGACTAAGCTATGGATTACTGACAAGGTAATATTTTTTCAGTGCTCTGCTTTTTTGGTCATTGTTATCTCCTTTTCAATACATAAGGTTGCCTTATTTTATCAATTTCGTTTTTCTTCACACACGAGGATTGCACACATTGTGTTGGTATGCCAGAGCTTTGTTTCTTCTTTCTCACACCATATCATAAAAATCAATATCTTAATGAATATCCATGTCCATATTTGTTGTGATGCTGCATGCTTGTGGTGAATAACACATGTGGCTCCCCTTCTCTTCCTTTCTAACACACGTTGTTGCATATAGGTATCCAAGTCCTGGACAACTGTGTCTGCCAATGGAAACACAGATTGGTATGCGAAACAAGCAGAAATGGTAAGAAAAGTTGTTGGCTCAATGCCGGTTCACTTCCAAGTCAATTATAAGGAAGCCATGAAAAGTGACCAGAGCCTTGTAATAGGCAGCTCTGAGATATTCTACATTCCTCAGCAGTTCGTGATTGACTTTGTAGATCTTGTTGGTTTGGTGGGTGATCTAGATATTCATCAAAAGGTTGCCATACCCATGTTCTTTATGTCAATGGATTCACCTCAGAATTTTGATTCAGTGCTTAGCACAATGGTATATAAGCCGAAGCCACCACCTGCTAATTCAACTCTTTATTCTGCTCAAGCACCTGCTGTTCATCCATGGAATGTGTCTAGTGAACAAGATTTCATAAAGCTGACAAGAATAATGGCAGAAGGGGACCCGCTCCTAATGGAGTTGTTTTGAAGGTTAAAAACATCGTTTAATACTCACAAGAGCCAGAATAGAGTAAGAAAGATTCAAAGACACCTGTAGCGCTACTTTCTACCTGTTATACTGAATTCTGTTTTTACTTTTTCCCAATTTTTTTTTTTTTTGTCAAGGGGGAGGGCTCCTTTTCTTTTTCCTTAATTTTTTGTATTTTTTTTGTCTAACATCTCTGTACATTTACCCTGTATCATTCATTTACTGATGGGGATTCCTCTGATGGAAAAATGTGTTAGATCTTTTTCTTTGGCTGGAAAATATAAGAGAAGAAGATACTTGTTTCAGTTTCTCTGGCGCTGTTCACGAAACGTTTTCATATTCTTCATTTACTCATATTTCAATGTCTGCCTTCCTTGCTTTGGGGCTTTCAGGATATGGTTCTTGGTTGGAGTTTATCTCTTTGTTTGGGTTTTGTTCTTCTGGTGTCTTGGCTATTTTATATCAGGCCTTGGCGTTTAAATATGTTCAGGCGGCTGCTGGCCTTTTCTTGGCACCGTTGTGGTGTTGTTCTCGTTCTCCCTCTTTTATCTCTGGGAGCCTCCTTTATCATACTTTGGTTGGCTTATCAAAGAAAAAAAGAAAAAAAGAAGAAGAATAGACAGTGGAGATGCTAACAAAACCCATGGAAGGTATTGAATGGCAACTGTGAAATTTATTAAAAATCTCGCATTTAAACGCGGGAGTCACATCCATTCATTCAAGAGAAACAGAGAAATAACTAGGGAAATCAACCATGTTAACTGATATTTGCAACTCTAGTATCTTTCCAACAGTTCATTTACATTTTACCGATCAATACCCTCAATCTTGTCTTCAACTTCTGAGTACAACTGTCTCAGCTTCTCAATGTTATCCTGTGAAGTTTCCCAGTACCCACGACCATTGGCCTCTAAAAAGGTCTGCACCATCTTCCTAAATGAATTTGGGTTTGTGCTCATGAGTTTGTTCAGCATCTCCTCATCTTGGATGAAAGTTGAGTTAGCTTCTTCATATACCCAGTTGTCGACTTGGCCAGAAGTTGCACTCCAGCCAACAGTGTTTGTAAGCCGCTTCTCAATCTCACGAACACCCTCATATCCAGTAGACATCATTCCTTCATACCACTTGGGGTTCAACAATTTGGTTCGAGCATCGAGTCGCACAGTCTCTGAAAGAGTACGTACCTTGAAGAGAAATTTTTTGAAATTGTTTAGCATTAAAAGGAACTTGATAGTTTTAGACTTGGCTATTGAATCAGCCCTTTGGATTAAAAGATAATGAAATTGCAGCAAGTGTCCTATTGCTAACCTGAGCATTTGCTGTTGTTGTGTCTGCAATGTAAGCATTAGGCTTCTTCTTATCCTTCCTCAAGTTCTGCACCAGGTTTGTGGGGTCTGAATCAAAATAGTGGCTCACATCAGTGAGTGAGATTTCTGAAGAATCAAGATTTTGGAAGGTGGCTTCCGCTGTGCTAAGCGCCATCTCAAAAACTTTTCTTTTCTCTGCCATGCCTGCACCTGGGGCATCACAATCAAAGGCAAAGGACTTCCTGCTCAAGTACATGTCTTGAAGCTGCTTCTCATCATTCCAAGAAGAATTCTCCACTGCAAGGTTTATGTTTGAGGAGTATGATCCCGAGGCATTAGAGAATATACGTGTTGCTGCTTCCCGAATGTCAACACCAAGGGCTTCAGCTTGTTCTAGGGCATGCTTCCTGACAAAGTTCTGATCAGCTGGCTCATCTAGTTCAGCTACCATTTTCACTGCACGGTCGAGGAGGTTCATCTGTGGACAAAATAAAGGAAAAACAATACAGAAGTTCATCAGTAAACGGTTGAGCCAAAACAACGGCTATTAAAGAAAGAATGCAGAACTGAAATATTCATATGTTAAAATAATTACTGATCCTCATGATTTTCCCTAAATGAAAACAAATTAGTAATATGAAAAAGACTCGGTACCTGATTGATAAAGAGATCTCTAAACACTCCTGAGCAATTAACAACGACATCAATCCTAGGCCTTCCAAGTTCTTCAAGACTTACAAGTTCCACCCGGTTAACCCTACCAAAGGTATCAGCAACTGGCATTACTCCAATCATCCACAATACCTGAGCCAGGGACTCACCATAGGTCTTGATATTATCAGTTCCCCACAATACAAGTGCAACTGTCTCAGGATACTTCCCACCATTGTCAGCTTTCTGCCTCTCAATTAATCTGTCCACCACAACTTTTGCACTCTGCATTGCTGCTGTTGTAGGAATGGATTGTGGGTCTAGTGCGTGGATGTTTTTTCCAGTTGGCAACACCTTTGGGTTTCTGATGGGGTCACCACCAGGCCCTGGCTCCACATATTTGCCTTCCAAGGCTTGTTTCAGACTCCCCAGCTCATTGTCAGCTACTATAAGTTTCAAACAGTCTCCTAGGAACCGGAATAATGTTCTCAGCTTATCCCTATCTGCCTGATAGAATTTTGTGCTTGACAAGTAATCAACCCATGGTTCATTAATGCCAAACCCGAGGATAGAGCTAAGCTTATCTGCAACATCTACAACCTGACCCTTTTTGTTAGTTGTTTTCTGCACAAAGGCAGAGACGGCGCCACGCGAGGCCTCAGTTATTTTCCGAAGAAGTTCTACATCCTTCAAGATTCCCTTGTCACTCTCTCTATATACATCCTCTATGTTTCGTCCAACAGTTTCAGCTAATATTGATGGGAGTGATGAAATCTCATCTTCAGGACGGTCTAATGCAGCAATATTGACCAGGGTGGCGACAGCTTCCATTGCAGATGGAGGTTCACCAATGACATGAAGCCCACATGGCAAAAGCCGGGATTCAATCTCCATGATCTTGGAGTATACCTTTCCAACCACAAGATCTCGCTCCTTTGCAGAGATCTCCTCCCCCTCTTCAGGAAGCTCGACATCCTTGTCAAGATTGCATTGCCTAGCTGTACTGATTATGGAGCTCACAATCTGTGGCCCACGACCTGTGTCTTTGAGGGATTGGTATGAGGAGATAAGCTCACTCAACTGCTTCAGGCCCTTGTAAAGCCCAGCATTTTCAGCTGGGGGGGTCAAATAGCTAATAGTATTTGCATAACTGCGGCGTTTTGCAATGGTGGCTTCAGATGGGTTATTAGCTGCATAATAATAGACGTTGGGGATATTCCCAATGAGACTGTCAGGATAACAAGCATCGCTCATTCCCACCTGCTTCCCTGGCATGAATTCAAGTGAACCATGCGTGCCAAAATGAAGAACTGCATCTGCTTTGAAGATTTTCTCAACAAAAGAGTAATAAGCTGCAAATCCATGATGTGGGCTAGCAGATTTGGAGAATAATAGCCGCATTGGATCACCCTCATAACCAAAGGTGGGCTGGACTCCGATGAAGACATTACCGTACTGTTTTCCATATACCAAGAGATTCTCTCCATCAGAATTCAAATTGCCGGGAGGTTTGCCCCAGTTCTCTTCCAATGCAGTGGCATATGAAGTAAGGCTTTGATACTCTCGAACACCCATTTTGTAAGCAATGTTCAGATTTGGGCTGCTAAATTGAGCCTCTTTATCATGAAGTATGTCTTCAATCAAGGCTTCTGAAGTCTCTGGAAGGCCCTCAACATTGTAGCCATCTCTTTCTAGTTCTTTCAGAACCGAGAAAATGGAGGAGAAGACATTAAGGTAGGCTGCTGTCCCAACATTCCCCTTGTCTGGAGGAAAACTGAAGACAGTGATTGCTAACTTCTTCTCAGTCTGCATTAGGTAATGTACTTGTCATTATGTGATGAAAAAATAGATTCAAATTGAGTTCAAGTATTGTTTTATAGGAGAGAATAGACTAGGTAATGAAAACGTGAATCTTCTGCCACAAAGTTGAGAGGGAGAGACAGATGGGTCGCTAAAAAAGGGCAGAAGTGGACAGCCTATCCCTATCATTCCATCAGAATCAAATTTACATTTTAAGCAGTTTCTGAAGCAAAATTCTCATGGCTAATAAATAATTAGTGCACATATACAATGTGTGTTCTTTGAGGACCATTCTCTCTCCATCACCGGCAAGCATAGATTCATAAAAGGTAGTGATAATAGAAGTTCACATCAGCAATGATGCCTACAAAAAGTAAATGCAACCCTTGGACTTCAGCAATTTCGTTTTCTTTTCTTTCAAAGAAATTCGTGTTTCACTTGTGAACAAATGAAATGAGGGTGGGAATGATGTAATGCTTCATTGTGATCTAAGCATGTAGATTGCCTAACCATTATGAACTATCATGAAAATTTTTATGGTTTTCATATCAACTGGAAGCAAACAACAAGACTACAGGTTATATAAACAAAAATATGACATCACGTTTAAAGATCAGACGGAAAATACCTTTGATTTCCTTTTCAGTTCACCCCATCTGATTGCTCTCGTGCAGAGCTGCTCCACCCTTTTGTGAAGAGCATGTGATTTCCCTGCAATTACATTGATTTTCTTACTAATCCTTCAAGAATATGAGGTCGTGTGCATTGAAAGGAACTGCTTGAAGTAAAAGTAATGAACATACTGTTCAGCTTCAGCTTGTAAAATAAAAGCACCGAAAGATGCATATTTGCTTGAATTGTAGTTTTTAAAAATATTTACCCCTTTTTGGAAATGATAGAGACTCTAAAATCTTAAAGCAATTCTAAATCTAATTATGGAACCTAAATCATACGAGTATTGATGGCCATGAATAGAACAAACAATAAGAAGATGAATTAAAGAGGGAAACTAGGCTCGCCTGTTCTTGGATCCCGGCCGGCAAAAACAATGGGCTCCATGCCACCATCCAGTTCAGGAAGAGCAACTTGCAAAGCCACCTGAATTGGGTGCAACCCCAAAGTACTATTTAACCACTCCTCAGTTGTTTGAAACACCAAAGGCAATGCAACAATATAAGGCACATCAAGCTTGTTCAATGCCTCGATAGCTCTTGGATGATCCTGCCTTGCTGGACCTCCAACAAGAGCAAAACCAGTCAATGATATCACTGAATTCACCATTGGTTTCTTTGTAACTGGATCGATCAAATACCTCTCAACAGGCCCTGAAAAGTCAAGTCCACCAGCGAAAATTGGTATCACTTTAGCACCTCTTGCCTCCAACTCCATAATCACAGCCACATAGTGACTCTCATCACCAGTTACAATATGACTCCTTTGCAAAACCAGCCCAACTACTGGTGCATTAGGGTCTTTAAGCTTCTCATTAGCATCTCTCCTGGTTCCATACCAATTCAAGTACTCCTTCACATCATCATACATACAAGGAGCCAAAGGGTGCCAAATTCCACTATCCAAGAACAAAACTGGATCCGAATACGCAATCTT